TTCTTTTGGCCTACATTATTTAAAGATGCTTTTGATTTTTGTTCTAAGTGTGATAAGTGCCAGAAAATGGGGAACATCAGCCGTAGGAATGAAATGCCATTGAACAACATTTTGGTGATGGAGCTATTCGATGTGTGAGGAATTGACTTCATGGGACCATTTCTGTCCTCCTTTGGATACATATACATACTAGTGGTAGTAGATTATGTATCCAAATGGGTTGAAGCAGTAGCTACACGAACTAATGATCATAAGGTTGTTTTGAATTTTCTTAAGGATTTGATTTTTTGTAGGTTTGGAACTCCGAGAGCTATCATTAGCGATGGTGGCAGCCACTTCTACAACAAACCTTTCAAGGCATTGATGAAGAAGTACAACATCACACATAAGGTGGTAACTCCATATCATCCTCAAACCTTGGGCCAAGTGGAGATCAGCAATAGGGAAATAAAGAATATTTTGATGAAGACCGTCATCCCTACAAGGAAGGATTGGTCACTTAGGTTGAATGATGCACTTTGGGCTTATCGAACAGCATACAAGACCCCAATTGGAAAGAGCCCGTATCCACTTGTGTTCGAAAAGGCATGTCATTTGCCAATGAAGCTCGAGCACCGTGCATATTGGGCTATAAAAAAGTTCAATTTTGATCTTAAGGAAGCTGGTGTAGCAAGAAAGCTCCAACTTCAGAAATGAAGATTTGCTAAGATTTACAAAGAACAAACCAAGCTCTATCATGACAAACCAATTCTCCGGAAAGAGTTTCAACCAGGTATGAAAATGCTTTTGTATAACTCACGTTTGCGAATTTCCAAGTAAATTGAAGTCTAGATGGGTTGGACCCTTCAAAGTGCTTCAAATATTTCCCCATGGAGCTGTCGAGATAGAGAACATCAAGAATGGCACCTATTTTAAGGTCAATGGGTAGCATTTGAAGCCTTATTTAGAGAATGTCGCAGAGGAGCAGACCTATCAAGTTGTAGATTCTCTCGAGTTTACGACAACTTAGACACGCTGCCATGTCTTACCTAGATATTAAATAAAGCGCTTGCTAGGAGGCAACCTAGCTGGGTTTGTGTTCTTTCCTTTTATTTGTGTCTTTTAGTTTTATTTAATTTTCAGTCCACACGGTCTGCCTATTTGCACTGCATGCATTCCATTCATTTTTAAGCATCAAAGACAATGCTTAGTTTAGGTTTGGGGATGTGGGATTGAAAATTTTCATTTGTTTTTAGTTTTGGTTAAGTTTGCTTTTGCTTACTAATGTGAATGTATATGTGGGCTATGTTTATAAACAAAACTTCAGTGTTGTCATGAAAAAGTTTCATATCTTATTTTCTTTTACAAAGCTGTTACTCTTGGAATTATGATGGTAAAAGCACCATGCTCAAATTCTAGAAGAAGAATAGTGGAGACTACCCTGGTGAGTTATTTTGAGCCTATTTGCTTCTTTGAGAGGGTTTAAAGTGTTTATGCTCCTATCTTTTGAGCCTATTTGCTTCTTTGAGAGGGTTTAAAGTATTTTGAGCCTATATTGCATATACCATGTGTTTATTATCACCTATGAATGAACTCATTGAGACGATGTTAGGCTATGCATGTTTTAACCACTAAAAGGCCTAATTCCCATCCCTTTGTGTGCTCCATTCACCCTTGTTGTAGCCAAACACTTTTAGCCTAGTTATTTCATCACCCACACCAAACTCTACCCATCTTAGCCCATTACAGCCATACCTTATAGTTTGGGGAACACTAAAGTGATAAAGACATAGATAGATTGAGCTCTAGATCAAGAACGTGGCGTGTACTAAGGTAACATGTGCTAGAATTGCAAAACAAGAAAAAAAAAGGTTTGAAAAAAAAAAAGACAAAAAGAAAAGAAAAAAAATGAATAAAGAAGATGCAATATCCAAATCCTTCACTATCACACACATGGTCCTGGACGCCAAGAACAAATTACAAAGACCAATTCAAGTGAAGAGCCTGCTTATTTCATAACAAAGACACTTTGGTATGTCCCAAGCTCTAGTATTTCATATCCTTTCTTTCATAGCCCATAGCCTAAGCCTTACATTACAACCTTGTGAAAGACCTAGCTGATCTTTGGGGATGTATTCATAGATGCTGGTAAGTATGTGTGTTATCCATATTCTTAGTGTTTGATTCATTTCATGAGATCTGTTCAGAAATTGTGCATTTATTTCATATTTCATATGTGAGAATTTTGATTCCCTTTTACATAATTTCACTTACATATGTTTGTCGAGAGACTACACCTTAGGATTTGAGTCAAAATTAGAGTGATATCTCTGAGGAATAGAGTTAAGGTGAATTTTATCTTTAGCATTTGAGTATGGTGTCTTTGAAGTCATGAGTCATGGAGTAATATTTTTACACTTTACACAGGATACGATTCTTTGAAGTGGCAGACTTTTGGTTTGAATGTATGACTAAGCTTTCATTGGTTTGTATTAGTTTGTTTCAAGAATGCTTTAACCAATTTGTTTGCAGAGTCTATAGATGTTTGTGGGCGTCATCACTGTAAACCCTCAGGAGACACAACTCCTTCGATTAGGGACACTTAAAGGTTTAAAGGCTTGTTGCACATGCTCAGTGCAATCGTTTAGCCAGCGAAAGTGGTATAGTTAGATTTTATTGTTTTTGTGTGTTTTTAGTAATAGTTTTGCTGGAGGACTAGCAAAAACCAGGTTTGGGGGTATTTGATAACTCATATATTTCATGCATTTATACCATCCCTTTCTAGTATCTTTGTGATGTTTTAAAGTTAAACTGGTTGCATTTTACCCTATTTTGTTAGTGTGCAGTTACATGTACCTTAGGATCAATTTGAAGGCAAAAGAAGTGAAAACATGCCCTTTTTGGAGCTGATCTTTATTCAAACGTGGAGAGAAGTTTAGTGGCCTGTTTTGGAGCCCAAATAAAGTTGTTACTTGTTTTGAAGTCCAAATAAAGAATCCAAGATGAATCTGGCTTGTTAGAAGATCAGGAACAGAATGGGAAAGGAATTGGGATATCTAGCCTGATTTGGAGGTGCCAAATAAGGGAAAAAACGTGCAAAATAAAGGCTAAGTTGCTTGGATCACTTTGGAATATCTTCCAGCCTTTTTTGCCCCATAAAAACTTGCCTTTTAGCCACTTTTACATGCCTTTTTTATTCTTGGCAAATTACACAATTTTGATTACCTATTTTTCCTCTCTTTTCATTCTCTTAAGAAAAACCTTAGCCATTCCAGACAGTTTCACCACTACGGAAGACTCATTGCAGAAGGTTGTTCTTGGAGAAGTTCTACATCAGAATTGCTTCAAGGGTTTCCTCTCCAGAATTTATTTTCACTCATGTTGTGTATTTTCATTTTAATTTATGTGAACATGATGTGTAACTAAGTTCATGGCTAGGGATTTCGATGTAGCCTTGCAAAATTGATCCATGTTTTTAAGTTGAAGTATTCAGTTCATCAATCTGCTTGTTGTTTCATTCACTGAATCTATTGTTAAATTTGTTTGTTGATTTTAATGTTTGATCACCATTAGGGTTAACTACAGATCATTTAATCAAGATTATAGTAAACATCATGCTTAATCTTGGTAGACATGTGAATGAATGAAGAGAATGCTATGCAAACATCCTGCCATGTATTTGCTTTGGTTCTTTAACGTTTTCTTGCATGCTAAAGACTCTTAATTAGGAACCGAAGTTGAACATCCCAATTAGGTTGCAAATTAGGAGAATTGAATCAAAACCACACATCAAATGGCTGATCATATATATGTAAAACGAACTCAGGGAACAGGTTGGTAGTTGAATACGGCATAACTTTATAAACATGGAATTGGTTTTGTAATGGTGATTTCGAATCCCTGACCTCATCTCCCTTGCTTCTTCATCAATATATTATTCGTTGCTACATTCTTGCATTTTAATTTAATTAAGTTTACAGCACAAAAACTACTCTCAATTGGTTACTTTCATTCTTTAGTTAGGGTTCTTTCAAAGTTAGCAATTTATAGAGGTCCACTCAGTCCCTGTGGTTCGACACCCTTACTTGTGCTATTATACTAACCATATTTTTACACTAGGAAGGAACACAACAAAAAGCACACCCAGTGAACAAAAAAAAAAATTAAAGATATAGAATTACCAGGTGACACTAAAAACTGAGTTTTAATCCACCTGAAATCGACTTCTCACACCCTTCACTAGCTACGGAGTACCTCTCTTTGCTTCTCTTTCCCTCCCTCGCGCAAATTAAACTCTTAGTCCAAACTCTCTTCGACAAAAACATACCCAGTGAACACAAAAAAAGGCATAAATTACAATGGGTCACAAAGACCCCGTCCTACGTGTGAGCTCGTCAGTTCGCAACCGTTAAATCTCGTCTGCATGTAAAGTCCGCAAGCAAGGTGCGCACCTTAAAAACGTCCCTCTCCCTATAGCCGCCAAACAGAATTAGTGGGCCTTTTGGGCCCTTGATTTAAGGTGAGATGAAAATATTTTTAAAAATTTTTATTATTCTGAAGTAAAAAAAATGAAAGAAAGAAAAAGCTCTATGTAGTGTGGCTAATCTGAAATAAACATGTGTTTCAATTGATTTAAGGTGATTACAATCTAAACTACAGAAATGAGAATTCGAACAGAAGAGTCTGCAGATGAGCATACTGCTCTAATTTGCTCAAGCTCTTATTGCATTATGTTAACATGTTGCTTAATTAGTAGACAAGCTCTTATTGCATTATGTTAACATGTTGCTTAATTAGTAGAATATGATCTCACTTTTAGTGGAACTAATTAACTCAAATGCAACAAACAGGCCGTTTCATCAACACGAGAAAGCAGAATTACGTACAGAGCTTTACTTGAGGCTTAATCATTCGAAGGTGCAAAGCAAAGCATGGAATTGGATACCCAAACCCAACCCAATCAAACATAATTTTAACTTTTTCGTTTTTTTCCTTCCGTATCTTTTTATTTTTTTATTTACTTATGTTAGCTCTGCACCTTCTTTTGCTTGCTGATCTCTCCCTTCTCATTTTCATAGATTTTATGCGGAGTGATTTCGAATTTGACAACCGCTTCACTGAAATTCTGAAAGCAGTTTCTTCGTGTGATCGGTGCAAGAATAAGATCAAGCTTCTTCCCCTTCAAACATTACACAATATACTTTGTTTAATGTCCTAACCTTTAAAGTTGGATTGCATAAGGGCATATTTTTGGTCTTGGTCTTTACCTATGCATAAACTAAAACAAGACAGGGATATATACATATCTAAAGGTGTTGGAGATGGTGACGGAGATATCGCGTTGAGACCAGGGAAGACGAAAATTTTTCATCCGCCTATTGAAAGCCATTGGCATCTCCCTCCCCCAGAGAAAAACAAGCCTGATTCATCTATAATGTCAAACTTAGGCTTCAAGACAATGCTGTCATATCCGCTCAAGTTTCGGGACTCATTCAAGAGGCTCGGAGGGAGTAGTAGTAGGAGCTTCAAAACGGTTCTCGGAGGAGTTCATGATCCGAAAGATGAAAAATATGTTGAGTCTTTCAGAGAATTGCTTTTTATTGAGGGTCAGCTTCCTCCACAGCATAATGATTATCATACCCTTTTAAGGTAATTAGTAATTTGATGGGACAATGTTCTCAAATATAAGAAATGATTTGCAACTATCAATTTAAGATAAATTGTTTCTAATATTTCTATTTGATGATGATATATAGGTTTCTTAGAATGAGGGACTTCGATTTTGTGAAAGCAAAAGATGCGTTCTTGATTTATCTTAAGTGGCGTGAGGATTATCAGGTTGATGAAATTCCAAAGGTGAAATATTCCAAACTAAACTTTATTTTTGCTAGATGAAGTGTGAATATTACTCTATCACGTTGATTTTACAGCATGAAATCTCATCAAATCCAATAAGTAATAGAATCAGTTCGGTATTTAGGAAAGGTCGATGCCGGAAAACGGATTTGAGACGCTTTCGTTTAGGTTTGTTTATAGCCCACCAGTGCAGGTTTCTCTTTTAAATTCCTAGCTCCTTTAGAGTACATAAATGCAGTTGCTTTCTTATATCCTTGTTCCAAATTTGGAAAGTGGTTTCCTATTTGATTTTCGGAGCCCCATTTCTTCAAAAAATATATGCGCTATCGTGCTCTTTTAAATCATGATAATTAAGATTATGATAGTTGGGTTAATAAGAATACTGATCACCTAGAAGCTTGGAACACAAGGTACTCAAAAGGCCAACTCTCTTTTTTTTTTAAATGATTCTACTTAATCTTATTTAAGATGTTATTCTAAGTTCATCAAGATGATTCTTGACATGAGTTTTCCCTTACTGTCAATTCTTATGTTTTTCTGTGTCCCAATCAAGTGTTCGAGTTAGTTAGCGCTATGTGGCTTAATCGAAACAACAATTAATTGTGGGGTTCCTCATTGCAGGAGTTTAAGTTTGAGGAGTATGAAACGGTAAAGAAATGCTATCCCCATGGATATCATGGTGTAGACCGATATGGTAGACCAGTATACATCGAAAGGATCGGGATGGTGGACCTTAACAAACTTCTGCAAGTAACTACCCTCGAAAGATTCACCAAGTATCACGTTTCCGAACAAGAGAAAACATTAAATTTGAGATACCCTGCGTGTTCGATTGCAGCTAAGAGGCATGTAGCATCTACAACAAGTATTTTGGATGTGCATGGAGTGGTGAGTATTTCTTTCTTATATTCCATCTAGAGAAAACCTTTCGAAAGCATGTCTCAACCAGAGGGGAGTTTTCAAGTCTTATCTCCGTCATCCATGTTTGAAATTTTTTCTATATTCCAAAAAGATTGATTTTGCTGGTTAGGGCTTCAAGCTGCTTAGGGTTTAGGGTTCTAATATATTTGAACTTTGTGCGTTTGATTAGGGATTGGCTAATTTCTCAAAGCCTGCCAGATATATTTTTATGGAAATTCAGAAGATTGATAGCAATTACTACCCAGAGGTACGTGGGTTGTCATTGTTCCCACGGTACTGATGCCAAACGAAAGATAAGCATCATAGACGATGGGATGTTAAAAGGCGGTATATTTTCATTCGAAAAATTGATGATGGAAAGTTTGGAGCTTAGGACATTATATTTTTCTCAACATATGCGTGTATATGTTCATCTTAATGACTTTGAGGCAGCTGATATTTTCAGACTCTAAATTGCCTCTTTATCGTCAACGCTGGATCCGGGTTTAAAATGCTGTGGAAAGTAGTGAAGGCTTTCCTTGATGCAAGAACATTAGCAAAGATTCAAGTAAGGATTCTTTTCTCGAGGGTATAAATTTGTAGTGAGACATTGCATTGCACCTTCATTAATTTCAGATGATGGACTAATTGTTTTCGAAATCTACGAGATCACTATTGCAGGTGTTGGGATACAATTATCACAGTGAGCTGTTTGATGTTGTTGATCAAAGGTATACATAATAATCTAGTGCAAATTCAAAGAAAGAAAAAAAAGAAAAACTTTTCATATATTGGTGCACATAAAATGTTACTTAAACTCCCCTTATAATTGTTTGGTTAAAATTCAATTCTCTGCAGTAATTTGCCAACTTTTCTGGGTGGAAACTGCACCTGTTCCGATTACGGGGGATGCCTTTTCAGTGATAGAGGACCCTGGAACAATCCTGAAATTACAGAACTGCTTCAGGTCATCAGTTTTCTGCTTTCTGTTAATTCTAATAGCTTTCCTTCCCAAGTGTACTTTTAATGCAACTTTTTGAGCTTATACTTTGAAGGTACCGCGTTTACACAGTAATATAGTTGAGAAAAAATGTTCATCTATATCTTTCAGGCGATTTCAGTTGGCAACGAGCTAAACAACTGTGAAGAAAACGGTGATCAGGGATCAGAAGAGGCATTGGTGCGCGATACGGTAATTATTAAGCAGCTCCTTTAACCAGAATCTTACTTGCATAGATCTCAATTTATTAAGAACCATAAAACTTGAAAGGAGTGATAGGTTGTTTGATATAATTCATTTTGTGTGGCACTGCATCGCAGAGAATCCAGGATTTGGAAGCAGCGCTTGGAGACTTGAAGAAGGCAAGTTTGGACTAACGATTGCGCTCTTATTTCGGGGTACAGTTCAACACATTATGCAAAAATTATACTGATTCTTGTTGTATTTTTGCAGAAGATCGAAGCATTAGAAGCTGCGCTTAAAGAAACCAAGATAGTGAGTCCTAAAACATTTAATTTTTATTCTTCTTGGTACTACTAAGTTACTAACCTAAAACAAACATGTTTAATTAGTGAGCCTTTCACTCTTTTATCTTGACAGGTCTTGAAAGAACTCGGGAAGGATGTACAAGAGTTGAGATCAACTTCCTAGGAACTACTGTTAAGCAAGCTCTAATTAGCAAATAAATGTGTATCGTTTAGGGGATCGATCCATCTGTGCTCCTACAAGCTATATTTAACCTCTCGCGCTCCTGCTACGAACACAGAGAAGTTGGATAGGGGAGTACTGGTGCTTTCACCATAGACGCCACTGCACGTTCGTGCCTTCATCTCATCAGTAGCCACCGTTACTAGAGTATTAGCCTATATATTGAAGCAAAACACTGCCTATTGAAGCAAAATGCCACTAGTTTCCTTTGCCGTGGCCTCCAAATCAGAGGCTATAAAATAAATTTCTAGTAGTGACTAATAACGCTCATTTTTTTTACTTTCCAAAATTTAATAAATTATACTTTTAAAAGACATTTTTTTTGTTTGCTAAAAGTTTCAGTTTAAGGACTCATAGAAGGGTCTTAATCGATCAAAAGGTATTAGTTTTAGCGTATTTTCTGAAAATCTCCCCCACCATTTTGAGGACTTAACCGGACAAGGATTTAATGGGTTAAGCAAAAGCATAGGGTGCATTGAATTGGATTGAGATGGAGTCCCACTTTAGTCTTTAGCATATTTTGCTGAAAATCTCCCCCACCATTTTGGAGGCAAATAGGACAAAGCAACTAAAACAAAAAAAGGCGCCAATGATATGATTTAACATTGGTACTAGCTAATGGATTGTGTTGTCGTATCGCATCGTCTCAACAATTTCATGTCTAAGGGACACATGCAACTAGAATTTCTTCAATCATTTGGGTATAGATGGCATGCATCTAATCATGTTGACTCTGTTTATCATTTTTTTTTCTCTCTCATGGCTTTATTTTGGAGGCCCGTGATCATGAAATAAGGCTGTATTTTTGTCATTTTAATGTGATTATAAGGTGCCACTTAGTATTACGATGCAGTGATATTGTTCTTCACTTGTAAGTAAAAGGTCTTAAGTTTGAGTATTGTATGAACGACGAGTGTGTAGCGAAAATTCACCGTCTTTAGTCTTGATGAAATTGTACTTACAAAATAATAAACACCTTTCATAAATGACCAAAGCGTCACACACCCACGAGGTGGGGTAAGGAGGTTTGGGCAATGGATCTCTGATGCCTAAGCCAATAACTCTAAAAAAAAGTTGAGTGGTTAGGACTTAAAGTGCGTAGCAAAAGCTTATGCTTAGCGTACGGCTTACCGAAAAATGGTGGACATTAGGTATTTATAGGAAAGGGGTCGGCCATGGGGTTAGGATTTTGCCTTACACATGACGGCTTCACGTTGGTCAAGGTTGTGTCATTCGTAGAATGAATGTTGAAAGAATTATCCCAATATATTAATTAGGTGATGATGTCTTGGGATTATAAAATTAGTATATTTGATTAATTGTGATGAAGATTCCTTACTTATTTGAGTTAATCTTCCATTAGAAATGTATTAAAGATAAGATTTGATATTAATCTTGCCTTTGACTTTTCCATGCCACGAGCAGAGAGCTTGGAGATGTTGTAGATAGCTGCTCGAGCCTCCAGGATGTTGAACTATGTGTGAGAATATTTGTGTGACCTGTCAATTTAATGAGGGCAATCTTTTTTTTTTTTTTTTTTTTTTTTGAGAAAAAAGTCACACTATGTCTTTTAAATTTTTAGTTAGTTGGAATGTAAAGGTCTTCACCTAAGTCGGTCAAAGACAGAATATATGGGTGCAAGTTCAGTGCAAATGAAGTACCAAATGAGTCAGAGGTGAGAATCGAAGACCAGGAAGTACCAAAGAGCGACTGCTTTCGCTACCTAGGATCTATCTTGCAAAAGAACAGAGAATTAGATGGAGACCTCAACCATAGAATACAAGCTGAATGGATGAAGTGGAAGAGTGCATCCGACATGTTGTGTGACCGTCGTATGTCACTGAAGCTCAAGGGAAAATTTTATACGACAGCAATAAGGCCGGCGATGCTGTATGGCACAGAATGTTGGGAGGTGAAGCATCAACACGTACATAAAATGGGTGTAGCGGAGATGAGGATGCTTCGTTGGATGTGGATATCCGAGGTAAAGTAGGAGTAGCTGAAATTAAAGGAAAGATGAGAGAAAATCAGTTACGGTGGTTTGGACATATGCAACAAAGGCCTATTGACGCTCCGATTAGAAGATGCAACTACGAGACAGAGGTTGAGAGCCAAAGGGGTAGATGAAGACTTTGGAAGAGACTCTAAGAAAAGACTTAGAGTACTTGGATCTAACGGAGGACATGACACATAACCGAGCGCAATGGCGTTCTAGGATTCATATAACCGACCCCATTTAGTAGGAAAAAAGCTTTGTTGTTGTTGTATGTCTTTTAAATTTTTAGAATTATTTTTTGCTCCAAAACGAGGTTGAAACTAATTTATTTCTCTACTCTTTAGTGTAAATATTAGGCTTGAAATAGTTTAAGGACAATGGTTGATGAAAAAAATCAAATAGTTGACGACCACCTTGTTAAATACTATTTTCTCGGTTCCATGTCTTTAAATGCAAATTTTCTTGTTGATGTCATATAAATTGTAGGCATCCTATTACACAGGATATGTATATTTGAGACTTGCTAGATGTGCTTTTCTTTTCGATTTTACTAGACTTGTTTATGTACTATAATATACTTGTCGTTATTATAATGAACTTATTTTTCTGATAAAAGTAATGAATCAAATTGGCAAAAAAATTCACAGATTTGTGATTAAATTAGTTTGATGAAACCTGGTCACACGATGTACGATGAACGGATATGATGTGAGGATGAGAATCCTCACTGGATCCTCATTCGTTTACCACAACTTGTAACTGCAACAAATAAATCATTTTATCATATACTCCAATTGGTTTAAAGTAAGGGTGCAACTCGGACAGGTTGGGTGGGTTGGAAAGTCGACCCAATCCTAACCCAACTTTTACAATTCGGGTTCGGGTTCGGGTTGAAGTTTATTTGGGTTCATTTGAGTTCGGGTTTAATTGGGCTACGGTTTGCTTGGGTTGCCTAACTTTTTCAAATTTAATCTTGTAATAACTTAGTTTCAAAGAATTCCTAAAAAATTAAGCCAAGTAACTCAAAGCTGAGCTTACTCTAATTTCATAAATCAATCTATTATAAAGCTTTATAATTTAGAAACTACGAATATGAGTTGACTAATCAAAGTCTCTTATTCCCTAAAAGCTTAAGTAATTATAAAGGGTAATTTATTAAAAAAATATTAGAAAGGGCGTTGGTTTTTGGACTTGGCACACTTGAGTGTAGTATAAGCATTAATTGATATGGGTTACAATCTGGTTAGATTGAGTTTGGTTAGATTAGTTGGTTAGATTGAGTTTGGTTAATAAATAAAAAAACAGTGTGATAGGAGCATATTTATGCGAATTAGTTAACATGTTTCTTGCATTTACTTAGCTAGTTATTGCTTATAAGAATGTTTTAAGCTATTTTCGTGTGTTTGTAGGTCCTAATAACAAAGTTGGCAAGAAAGTGCTACTTGATAGGAGCATATTTATGCGACTTAGTTGGCTTGTTCTTGTGCATTTATGTCGTGTTTCCTTAGTTATTTTAATGTTTAAAGTCATTTTCGTGTGTTTTCAAATTTTATGGACAAAGTAGGCTTGAAGATGCATTTTGGAGCATTTTGGAGCAAAATGGAGCTTGGAATGCATGTCACATATTTGGGCCAAAGTGGATGGACGAATTTGAGAACTAAAGAGGCCAAGAATGTGAAGAATTATGGTCCAAAAGATGAAGAACTCAGCCCAAAAATTTGTCACCCAACTTGCCTTCATTGCCATGCAAAACAACATAGAATTCCCTTTGGATTCCCATGCCATGCTTGATCACTCTTGTCCCCTACATAATTTCTGATTTCATGCTTCAATTCATTTAATTATTACACTTAATTGCTTGATACCTCTTGTTCCCTTCACCCACAAAATTTTATACAACTTTCACAACCATAACATGCACCAATTTATGCTCCATCATTCACATTTGGAATCTCATGCCTTGTGTACCACATGTTACTGCACCTTTGACCCATTTATTGACACATTTTCACCTCCCTTTCCATCTCTATGCAATGTACACAATCATTCATGCCCCCTAGCTACAAGACCACTCCATTTTACCCTTCACACTTTGCATCATCACTTCATTTTCACCCTTGGACCATTGCACACCACATACACTCTTTGCCGTGCATTCTCCCTAGCCTAACCTGATTCTCTAAGGTTTTTGGGGCCTATATATATATTGTTTACACCCCTTGGCAAAGGGTTCACACTCTCATATTCACCATTCATCACAGAAATTCGTCCATACTCACCCTAGGTAGCAAAACACCCCAAAAACACCATTCTAGTGCCTAGAAAACATAACAGCCACTCCACCTTCTTCCACCCTCTTTGCCTAGTTCTCCACCACCCTCCAACCCTCAAACACTCCTCCACACTTACCCTAAACCTTTCCATACCATTCCCCATCCATTCTACATCATAAAACTACCCAAAAATCCGTCCACAAAGCAATCTGCCGCAAGCAAGCAAAGGAGAATTCTTGGATGCACTTGCTACCCAAGTTGGAGCATTTTAGGTGTTTTCTTTCCTTTGATTTTAATGTCTAATTTTATGTATCTTTGCTTTGTGAGTATGAGGAACTAAACCCTCTTAGTTAGGGGGTGATTCGAAACCATGTTCATACTTGCAATATGATTTGATTACATCCAGTTGTGATTCATAAGTTGTGAATTCAATTTACTTATCCGATCGTATAAAAATGATTTGTGTATGTTGGTTGAGAGTGCACGCTTAATTTTCATGCATGAATTTAACGCTAGAATATAAGGGAGTTTCACCTAATCGTTATGAACTTATATTCACAAGTAGTGAAGGTTGCTAGTCACAATCACGTTAAGTAAATTCTTGGCATAAGTTTCATGCAAATCATAGTAACGAGTGTCTCGTCAATGCTTATGTTTTTCATAGAACTTAATGATTCTTGCTTGTATCTCTATTATGCAATTCATGTAGGGAACTTGTAGGGAATGTTTTGGGTTGTAATATGCAATCATCCAATCCAATAACTTGTGGAAAAACTGAGGGTTAATTAGTGCAATTCACGGTTAATTTGGGGCGTTGAGTATTCATAGCTTATCGAAAAGCAACTGGAAATCGTTTTGTATGCAAGTGTGACATGTGTGGAGAAGAACCTCCTAGCTAGCCTTCCATCCATAAGTTTCATTCAA